GCAAAAAAAGAGACCAACAGCCATATCCTTCCCTTGTGTTTGCTTTTTTTCACAATAAAAGAATTCTTCCCTTCCCTTCCCTTCCCTTCCCTTCCCTTCCCCTTCCCCTTCCCCTTCCCCTTCCCATCACAAATCTAGTTCCAACAAATTAGTTTGGACATTCTTCTGAGTCATAACAAGGCTATTCCCAGAGCATCTCACTTTTAAACAGACCTTTCTAGCATTATAAGCTTTACTAGGAAGTTAGTAGCAAAGAAGTTCACACAGAAACACATAAGGAGGAGATGATCACCATATGTCTGCTGACTGTGGTATCTACTAATCCTTGGAAATACTCAGTGTTTGAAAAGTAATACCTTGGCTAGAACTGTATGCTTTGCAGGCACAAAGATTTCACCTAATTCTTGTCAGCTGTAGCTTGGTTTGGACACTTGTGTACGGTGGAGACGTGCGGACTGGTCACAACTCCACACATATTTTCATGGAGTCATGCCCCATCCCTGGAGATGCTCAGGGCCAGGCTGGATGGGGCTCTGAGCAAAGTGGTGCAGCAGAAGGTGTCCCTGCCCATGGCAGGAGCGTTGGAACTACATGATCTTTGAGGTCCCTTCCAAGCCAAACATTTCTATGAGTCTATGATTTTCTGGTGCAAAGAGGAGAGAACTGATAATAGTTTATCAGTGCCTTACCCATTCTCTACCTCCTGCTATTTCTCACCATTTATATTTTTAATCACCGCGTCTTTTTTTTTTTTTTTTTTCCTGAATTCCTTTCCCAGAGAGTATCCCAATGAAAAGCTTGAAGTGCTACAATGACTACAACTCACAGGTGACTTGCACATGGATGGAGCATTCAGAGGCTCATGACCTCGTTGGTATGATCCTTTACCAAAGGGATAATGTTAACATGTAAGTACCTGAAATGTGCTGAGCTAGATAGAAGTTCAAAGGCGTATTGGCCATAACTTGGAATCCTGGGGACAAGCAGTCAAGTTTTTAGAAAGCACAGCCACCTCTCTTTTTCAATTAAGCAAAAGTTTTGCTTGCTTCTGAGGCCTCATCTAGGAAAAGAGGAATGAATAGGATATGCCAGTGGAGTTGTTTTTACCACCTTTACAATTATTTTCTATAATTTTGTTGTAGGATCGTAGATATGAAATAAGAAGGGTAGGCTGCTAATAATCAGCGTTGGGGAGAAGGAAGTGTCAGAATAAGTGTGAGTATTGTTTGTAAACCCTAAAGGGAGGAGACATTCCTCCTGTCATTTTGCTCAATTAGGAGCATCACTGAGAGTGTGGTTTTGATAGCTTTTGAGAAATATGTGTAGACTGTATATTTATGTGATAGAGAGGACTGGTAAGT